TATAATCACCTTATATCCAACAAGCGCGAGTGGAATAATTGTTTTATGAAAAACGTTAAATTAAATTGTTAATTTTTATCAAATTTTTAGCTCCCTTTTGATTTTAAGCTAACACGTACGCTTACCATATTTGTAGATTATGGTATATTGGCTGATAAACCATAATGGCTAAGCCAATAAAAAGTCTTGAATTGCATTATCCAATGATCTAGTTTTTAATAATGCCAGTTATATCCGGAGTTTTCCGAAGTTTTATTATTGAAGCTTAATAAGAAGAAAGCTTAATAGGAAATGACAAATGACAAATTCCAAATTAATCTAATTATTATTGATCTAATTTACACTTTCATGTTCATGAAGACCGTTCACGCCCGCAAATAGCAGGAGCTAGTCGAGGCGGGCGAGAATTAGAGGTACAGCAGTGGTGATAGAGTACAAATAAAGCTTAAACATAAATTAATAACATTTCCAGAAAAAGACAGCCACTTAAAACTCGTATATGCAACTGCATCATTAAAGATAAGAAAATAGTTACACTACAATGTAGACTATAAATTATAAAGCCAGTTTATAATTAGTAAGTCTTTGAAACAGAAGGGGCGATTCAATATAGTAATCCTCAGCCTCTGGGAACGAAAATAACATATCCTTAAAGAGTTTTTTGAAAGCTCTCTTCGGGAGTTGACGAAGAGCATCGCAAATGGAGTTCCAAAGTTTAGTTTCGAAGCTAGCGAAAGAGCCCTGGCTTTGACTCAGTATAGATGGATTAATATAAAAATTGCCGAAAGAAGAGAACCTCGTATCGTGATTATGCTTTTCAGTAGCTTTAATGAAAAGATTACTAATGTTAGTAGGTACAGTTAGAAATGAGACGTCAAACATAATTGAGGAAACTGATTCAACGCATAACATATCTATGGGGAAGATTTTTGAGGAGATAAATAAAGGCACCGCATGTGCTCTGGGTTCAGAAAAATATATCAGCCGAAGAACACGTTTTTGTAGGACGAGGATTCTATTTTATTTTTATTTTTGTAGGACGAGGATTAATATTTTTTGTAGGACGAGGATTTTTGTAGGACAAGGATTTTACCAGTTATATTGGTGAGACCAGTCGCCACATTTGTACACGAGTTCGTGAGCACCTCTTGTCGGACAAGACTTCACATGTTTACTAGCAACTTTTTCTTTTTTGGTCTAGTCAAGCGCGCGCTATTTACATTTTTCGCGTATTTAATATTCAAATTGTAACGTGAGAATGTTACTATTATTTCTGATCGGTTTCCATTAGCGAGCGATGGTATACTATTCCAATGCTACCATTTCTATCATTTTGTATTCAAGTCCTAATAATGGGCTCTCAAAATTTTTCAGTTACCTCACATCACTTTTAATACTTAAATCGACTTAGATTCAGCATGTATTCTTTAGCTACAGGCAACCGATACCGTCACGTTCCAGCCGATGTCGGCGAAACAGGCAGAAGATTAGGTGACCGATTCCGAGAACACCTTCGCGACGTGGAGAGGAATGACAAGGACACATCGAAACCAGTCGCTAGACATTTTATTTTACCCAATCATTCTAAGAAACATATGGCAATCTGCGGTCTTTCCTTACACTTAAGTAGCACGGAAAGCCGCAAAACTCTTGAACAAAAGCTCATCTTTCAAACCGGCAGTCTAAATCCCACAGGTATCAACGAACGCTTTTCATTCCACTAATCTATTCGTGTTTTTCTCGTTGCCATGTTCTAACCAATCACGTAGCTCCGTTTTCTGTCTTTAAAAGCGCACACAACCCACAATTCCTCTATTCGCTCCGACGAAGGGCTAACGCTCGAAACGTCAGCTTTTATAACCGTAACGGTGGCCAATTTACCATTTCAACTTTGTTGATACATTCAAATTATTATGCAATATAGTAACCTGTGGATGTCATATTTCATAACTGAGATCGCCGTATCGAAGTAACGAATGATGAACCAAATGCTGAAATAAGATATGCGATTTTTTAACAATGACTTAAATTAGGTAAATTGCAATATGGTTAGCTGTGTACGGGAAAGTACCGATGCAAGCGACATAGAGAGCCAAGAAAATGGTAAGAATACTTTCTTTATAGTTAACTCGAGTTCCATTTTTAATACGCTCATGAAATGTTTAGTTGGGTCTGACTTATAGTCCTCAATTCTAATAGCGTCCGAAATTTCCTCGAGAAGCAGCAAATATGGATGCCTAGTCAGCTCAAGTTATTTAGCGTCGGACTGTCGTGGGAAAATTTCATTCTAAAAATGATAAACTGCATAATACAGGCTTACCAAAGTAACCCACAAAGTCTT